GGGAGTCCATTGTCCTCGGGACTAGTCCCGCCTGCCGGACCCGCCTTGCCATGGAGTCGCCCGCCCCGAGCCCGCCCGCCGGCGCGCCCCCGGCCAAAGGTAGGCGCCGCGGCCCGCTGCTGGCTTCCGCCCAGTGCGGCCCGGGCGCGAGTCCCGAGCATCCGCGATCCCACCGGCCCGGCCCGGCCCCACTCCGGCCTGGGGCCTCCCTGCACCCCGATTCAGGCCTCGGTTCTGCACCCAGGCCCACGCTCCGGCAGGATCGCCTCTCACACCCCCCACACCCCCTGCAGGTCGGGAACGTCACTCCGACCTTCTTTAGACGGAACTGCCCAGCCTGGCGCCCCAGCTCCTGCGCCAGCCCCGTCCGCGCCTGGGTCCAGGGCTGTGTCCAGGCTGATCCGACGGCTGTCCCTCGGGCCCCAGCGGGGCTCCCTGCTGGCGATCTCGCTGTACTGTTGCGCCCCTCCCCATCCCCCCCCGAGGGCTGCCCTGGCCATACTCCAGCCAGAACCCCCATCCTCTGCCCCACTCTCGCCATCCGTTTAGGCCCCACTGCCCCGTCCCTGGCCATCTTGCGTCCTGTCCTGCATCCCTGTGCCCTGGGAACCTCTCCTGGCTCCCCAGCCTCCCTGACCACAACCCCCTCCTCCTCATGCCATGCATGCTTCTCTGTGCATGGGGAGCTCCCCTCCACCCCAGGCCCCAGGATCTATAGAGCTGGCTGCTGCCAGCCCAGACCCTGCTGTCTGGGGTGCTGGGCAGCTGCCAGCCCAGGGTGTTGGCTGTGCAGTGGGCTTGCTCTTGTCTTCTCCAAGGAGCCGGCTTCCTGGAAAGTTTTGGGTGGTGGTGACTGCCGTGGCAGCAGGATTTGTCATGTGTGTGTGTGTGTGGGGGGGGGTGAGCTGGAGGGCGAGAGGGGGATTTTTCTGCAGGAAGAGGAACGTCTGTTTTTGGCGTGTCACTGTCTCAGCAGGCTGGGTTGTGTGGGAGATTTCCAAACTGGACGTAGCTGTAACGAGTGGGCTGCCTCCCTCCAGCAGCAGGAGTGTCACTGGGCCCCAGTTTCCTTATCTGTAAAATGGGTGTAAGCACACCTCCCTTCTCTGTACTCTGGAGTATCATGTGACATAGTGAATACTAACACGTTTTAAGCCAGAGTGGGCGATGAGACCATAGCGTGGTGTCCGGTGCACAGTAGGTACTTAGGAAGGAATGGTTGCTGTGCCGTCTGTCTTATTACCATTGTGACCTTTTTCTTTTTTTCTAGAAAGGGCTCAGCCTGTGGGGTCGAGGCCTTGCCTCTGCTTGGGCTGAGCTGCAGGTGGGGAAGACAGGGAGCCACTGGCACTGGGTGGGCCTCTTTTCCCCTGGAGGGGCCCAGGCAGGGGGAGGGTATGCAGAGTCCAGGAGGGGCTGTGGCGGCCGGGAGCCAGGGCCCAGCCGGAGGTGGGCAGGGTAATTGCCTCTTACGTAAGCGGGAGTTGGATCCCTGACCATTGCCCAACCTCCGTGAGTAACTCCGGAGGCACTCGAGGGGGTGGTGGCTGGGAGGGACTTGCGCTGCAGACCGTGTGGAACTCGGGATCCAGGAAGCCAGAAGCTTCTCCACCCGGAGAACTGGGACATGAGACACTTCTCTCCAGCGCGGGGCCCAGGTCTGGCTTGGTCAGGACAGTCCCCCGTGTCTCACTGACACAGTGTTTCTTGGGCGGAAGGAAGAGGTTGGGAGCAGTGGTGTTGGCGGCCCTTTCAGATCTTCCCGGCAGGGAATGCATCATCAAATCAAAGTTAAAGGCGCAGCTGTGACGGGAAAGCCCTGCGGGAGGCAGTGCGGATCCCGGTGCTGGCATAGCCCTCCCTGAGCCTCTGGAGAGGAATTTGCAGTGTGTGAGTTCAGGTAGCAGAGGGTGTTGGGTGGGTTAGATGGAAGGCCTGCCCCGGGCCCAGGGGCCCTGCCAGCCCTTCTGGGGTCTGTGAAAGGATGTGGTGGGGAAGCTACACGCCCCCTCACCAACATCCCCAAAGCTCCCATTCCCCGAGCTGTTCTCCCTGTGCCAGGAGCTCTTCCATTTAGCCTTCGTGGCCCCAGTTACAGGTGAGGAGACTCAGGCGTCCAGGCCGGGCCCGAGGTCGCAGCTGTGACAGATGGAGCTCAGGTTCTGCCTTCTCCATAGGCCCCCCAGGGCTCCTCTCCTCCTGTGCTGGGTGCTTGGGCTGAGCTGGGGGACACTCCCCTCACCCGTCATACCTGTGTCCAGCGGTGTCTCCTCCAGGCCATGCCCACCCTGGAGGCGGCTAAGCCAGAGGTGATGCCTCTTTTGTGCACAGCCCTTCACAGTCGGCACGTTTAATACTCACTGCCGTCCCGCCCACTGGACAGATGGCAAAACCAAGGTCAGCTCGGGGTGTGTGGCTAGGCCGAGTCCACAGAGCTGCGTCCCCCCTCTCCTGGGCACAGGCCCTAGTGTGGTGCTCCTGGCTCCTCAAAGGGATTTGACAGATACAGGGTGTGGCTGGCACTTGGCCTTGTGGGAACTTGGCCTCTGAGCTGCCTGCCCTGCAGGGGCGCCCTGCCTCCTCCGCCTTCGGAGTTCTCCGAGAGGGTGTGAGGCCCGGCTTCCTGCGGGGCTTCCTCACCCACATGCCACCTTTGGCTGGAGTCAGAAGCCAGAGGCAGCTGGCACTGGGCCAGTGGCAGGAGCACGTTCAGTCTGCGTGGTCCTGGTTTGCTGCCTTAGTTACATGTGTCCTTGGTGCTACACAATCCTGCCCCTCCCCCTCCGCGCCCTGAGGGCCCCCACCGGGCACTCCATGGTTGATCTCCGTGCGCCCCCCCCACCCCCCCGCCAGGTGCACTGAGGATGCTGGGAGCATGTCTGTGTCTTGCCCTGTGTTCTGGGGCCTCCACCCCCGTCGTGTGCCTTTCCAGCCGTTGGAAGACGGGAGGGTGGCACCTTGGGGACTTCCTCCGCCCCTGGTGTGACGCACAGGAAACTCTCAGCCAGCCTGGCCCGGGGCCTGAAGGGAGCAAAGTTCTCAGTTGCCTGTGTGGGGACAGAGCCAGGGCCACGGGAGCTTCCGGTGGGTGAGTCAGCGGGCACTGGGCACTGACTCACCTGCCGGGCATGCCATCCTGCTGGGTGCTGCCGTCTGGGGGAGACTGAGCCCAGCCTCGCAGGCCAGCTACTGGCTCTGAGCTGGGGAAGGGGGTGGCTCCCTTCTTGGACCTCAGGCTGGGCGGGGACCCCCCACCCCTCCTGGCGCTGTGCCAGCCCCGCCCGGGAACCTCCTCTGTTAGGCAAGCGCCCTGCTTCCTCTTGCTCATGGAGCAGGAGCAGGTGGTGGCACCTCTGCAAGGCACCGGGGCTCTCAGGCCAGACGCACTGCTGGGGGCCCTGGGGGCTGAGGAGCAAGGCCTGCCGGGTCGGCCTGAGCTTGGGGAGACGGGTGTGGAGAGGGAAGGTGCCGCAGCCAAAGCTGAGCTCAGCCCTTTCACTGTGGGGCGTGGGCCACGGAGTGTCGGTGCCTTCACTGCACTGCCCCCTGGGCCCACCTGTGTGAGGAGAGGCCTGTTTCCTCCCCTGCAGAATGGGAGCGGGGACCCCGCCTGCCGGTCTTGCTGGCAGCCACACAGATGGCTGCAGACGTTCACTTTCCTCTCGCTGAGTGTCAAGCACGGACACAGCCAGTCTGTCCTCTCCCTGCAGAGAGCCTGGACGGCGGGCAGAGCCCGAGCTTGGGGGGTAAGAACGAGCCTGTGCTTCCAATTCTGATTGGTTCCCTTGCTTCCTGACTTCCTCACATGGCCTCTCTGACCCGCTGTCTCCTCTTCGGTGAAGTGAGGTGAGCACCCTCCCTTGCAGGGTGGCGATAAAGATTCCAGGTCGTCTGTCACAGGAACGGAACGGCATCTGTGGTGACTTCCTTCCTGCAGTCGCTTGTTGGTGGTGAGCACACAGGGCTGGGCCTTCTGGCGGTGGGCTTGGAAGCGCTGTGACCTGTGGATGGTCGGGTGCAGGGTCCGGTAATGCAGCCAGAGGTGCAGGCTCTTTCGCACTGGTCCCCAAGCTGGCGCCGGGGCTCCCGTTGCCTCCTGGGTCTTCTTGGGAAGGGCCTCTGGGAGCAGAGAGCAGCGGGTGCACAGGTCTGCCTCTCCCGGAGCATGCAGGGGAGGTTGGGGGTGGGGTGCTCAGGAGGACAGGAGCCTCCGAGGCCAGCCTCGCCGTTGGTAGAACATCACTGGTGCCGGGCACAGTGCCAGCTGAGGAAAATGGGGTGAGTGCGGAGCCTCGACTCTCACAGAGCTCTCTCTGCCCGGGGAACAGAAGGAGGTACTGGGGATAGTAGTTCTGAGAGCCAGACCAAGGCCAGGTGTGCCAGGCGTCCTGAGGGACGTAGGGCCAGGCTGGCCGCAGAGGAGAGCGCTGGGGGCAGCATGAGGACACCCCTGGAGCCCCTCCCCGCAGGGTGCTGTCTGTGGTCTCACAGCGCGAGGAAGCTCATCCCTAGGAAGTCGGTATTGGCCTCGTCTTGCTGACCATGGTGGAGGGGGCAACACTGAGCTGTGGGATCTGAGTTGAGGTGAATGCAACAACAACAACAACAACAAACCCAAAACAAGAACACAACACCACCCGGGGTCCTTTCCACCCGTGAAAATCATGAGCCCATGTCTGCCTTCCGTCTCATCTTCCTGTATTTGGCATCTGGTATCACATTTACATGTTCAGTCATCGTGACCGGTTGGACTATATAGAAAAGCCCACAGGACAAGCACGAAGGACTCATATAACAGCAAGCAGGTCAGGAAGAGCAAGCAGTGGGTGCTGAGGTCAGTGCCGAGCCACAGCTGCCCAGGCCTTGTTGATGTCGTGGGACGGCTCCACCTGTGACGTCCGCGGCTTCTCGTCCGCGAGGAGCCTGATGTCCGTGGTAGGCGGAGGCGAGTGTCAGATGTCCATTGTGAGGAGGTGCCTGCTAAGGTCCCTTCCAATGAGGTTGGACAGTGTATTTCACTTGATAACAGGCGGCAGTCCATGGGTTTTAGCCTTTCTGTCCTGTGAGCTCGCTGAGACGAGGCAGTTACTCCTGGGCATGTTCTGGAAGTGCTTCTACCACACCTGGTCTCCTCTCGGGAACGCCAGCCAGCAGTCCTTCCCTCTGTCTTCAGTCCCGCACGAAGGCACGGAGGAGTGCGAACACCGGGAATGGGAGCCGGGCGGCGGGGAGCATGGAGCGGCTGCCTGGGTTTCCCATGGTCCTGACGATTTGTTGTTATTGTTGTTTCTTAACCTTTAGAAGCGTATTTTATAGACATCAAAGTCAGTTATTAACATGGACTTATTTTTGTAAAATCCAAGCAAATAGAGACATGTGTCTTTTACTTAAACCAACAGACAAGCTAGCTTTTATTTCCCAAGGATTAATCTTAGATCGCATGAATTTGAAAAGTATTTGAGTTCATGTATCTGTTTCTGAGAATTTTAGCATACCCAATCTTACAAGCACTGCCTTTACATTCATTTTACAATGTCATCCAGAGGTAGAAAGTGCTTTCTGTTCACAGCACATGTGTATAGACACACACACACACAGACACAGCAGAGGACAGTGAGATCCAAATTCTGTTTTGGAGGAATTTACAATTTATATCTGTCCTTGGCAAGTTAAGTTCCAAATGACCTTCCCCCTTTTAAAGTAAGAACACCATTTAAAAAAAATATATTTTATTGATTTTTTACAGAGAGGAACGGAGAGAGATAGAGAGTTAGAAACATCGATCAGCTGCCTCCTGCACATCTCCCACTGGGGATGTGCCCGCAACCCAGGTACATGCCCTTGACCGGAATCGAACCTGGGACCTTTCAGTCCGCAGGCGGACGCTCTATCCACTGAGCCAAACCGGTTTCGGCAAGAACACCATTTTTAATACCCCTAAGAATTGGGTTGACACCTAAAAGACATAGGTTGATTCATTTATTTAAATACTTTAGCGTGCGCTCTCTCTTTTGGGAAATTCTTTTATATAGTTTTACTTTAGGTTAAAAGAGAAGGTCTGTTTAAGTCTGAGACAGTCTCTAATAGTTTCTTTTTTTGGGGGGTCCCTGGTCTTTAATGGGGTGCACACTGGGGACAAGCTGTCCAGAGAAGGCAGTAGGGAGGCGAGGTCTCTACAGCACGAGAGTGGAGGGCAGCAGGTCAGGTTGGTGGGGTCTTTGGAGGTGGGAGGCCAATCCCCCCCCAAGAGCAGAGCAGGGTCTCTGAGCTCACCCCTGCCACCAGGCCTGGGCCCAGGGGGTATGCTGTGGGAGAAGCTAGCAATTTGCTGCCCCCTGGTGGCCTCATCGGCAAGGATGGCTACTTCCCAGAGGGGTTGCCCCCACCCTCATACTGGACTCATGAGAGCTGGTTCCAACCCCTGTCCTACTCTGGGCCTTGGTTTCCCCGCTGACACTGGTGAGGAGCACGCACCGCCTACTCCAGAGCCTTCACCAGGGCTTCGTTGGCCTCGGTTCGGATTTGGATCTCAGCCCTCATGGCCTCGTCGGATGCCCTGACAGCTCGATTGTGCCTTTTCCAAGTTTGCCTTGGCTGCCCCCAAATCCAGCATGTCCAGCGGCACAGCCTTTTCAGCCAGTAACTGAACTGATGAATC